TGTGTGTGTGTGTGTGTTATAAAGAGTAAAAACTACATGAGGTGCTTAGACAAAAAAGAAAAAAAATAGAGATAACAATATAAAATATAGAACAATTGATCTTATAGGTATTTTCCAAAGGAGTTTCTTCATTACCTCCATTATCCACGCATGAGTAAATTCCACTAGGGCTTGACTTTTGTTATTGTGTCACAATAGGGCTTGAATTTTCAAAAATTCAATTGAGGATTCCAATTTTAAATTATTCTCAATTTAAGGCTTACTCTTACATTCTAGTTCTCAATTTAAGATGACAACTGACTTTATATTTTAAGATAATTATGTAAGCCAAAATAATATTATTTTAAATTTATATTTTAAATAATTATTAGTAAGAAAATTAATTCACTTAAGTTACATTTATACAAATAATTAATAAAATTTACTTTACAATTAAATTGTAACTAAATTTAAGTATTTATGATTTTAATATTATATTATTTGATAATATAAACATATAACAAAATTAGAAAATGAACTATTTAAATTTTTTTATACTTTTTTCTAATTAATATTGTTCGTATTAATATTGCTATAAAAATATTTATGAATAAAATTATTATTTATAATAATATTATTTTGAAAATATATAAACTAATAATATTATTATTATTTATAATACATAAAATAAAAAAATTATTATTTAGAGTTATTTTAATTTGTTTCTAAGCTTGACTATTGATGATGCTTGGAACTATGACATTTAGATAAAGTGAAATAAAAAGAATAAAATAGTGAAGCTTAGAAAAAAAACTAAAACGATTTTCTAAATACTTTATGTTCTAGTTTTATTAAATATTCAGATAAAAAATAATATATTCTTATATTTCAATTTTTAATTTTTTGTACTTTAAAATTAATTTGCTAAAATTTTGCATAAATGCAACTTTTATGAATTAATTTTCTTGCGAAGCTAGTTTTACAATTATACTTAATACTTATATTATAGGTATTAATTTTATATATTCTTAACTTTTTCAAAATATAAATTTTATTCACAAATAATATTTTCTATAATTTTAATTAGAAAAAAATAAAATTATTTTTCTAAATAATTTATTTTTTATTGTTATCACGTATGTAGATTAAAATTAAGTTCAAAATATATCTTTTAACTTTTAAAATATATTTCATTAAGATTTTTCATAAATGTAAATTATAAATAGTTGTCTTATAGGGTAATTTTACTAATAATATTTAATATGTTTCATTATAAGTACTTCAAAAATAAATTTCAAAAAAAGAGTATTATGGTTTACATATTTATGTCAAAATACAAAGTGAGTTGGAGTCTTAAATTGAGAAGTATATGTAAAAGTAGGCCTTCAGTTGAGAATAGCCTAACATTGGAACCTTATATTGAAAAAGTTAAAATTTTAGACCCTATTATGATACAATACCAAAAAATCAAGCCCTACAATGGAATTTCCCCGTAAAGTATATATGTAATTTTTTTTAACAATATTTTGCTTGTCAGTGGATCACTAAGTAGTTGCCCCTCATTTAATTCAAACTGATGAGTTCCTTCATCTTCATTTTTTGTCTGACTATTTGATTTATCTTTCTATACTCAGTGATTCTACCTTATTATAAAGATGGGAAAATGGAAAGTTCAGAAGTTAATGAAAACAAGGAAATTGTTTTCCGTCGACATGTGGTTGATCGTATGCCAATTGACTGCTGGAATGATGTTTGGCGGAAGTTGCATCAACAGCTTGTGAATGTTGATGTTCATAATGTGAATTCAGCCCATGCCGAGGTGTATTCATCTGTTGCCACTGCAGTTGTGTGGTCCATGAGGCTTGCACTTTCTATTGCTCTATATGTTTGGATTGATAATACGATGAGACCAATATATGCTAAACTGATACCTTGTGATCTTGGTGATCCTCCTAAAAGGACTACACCACCATTGCTGTCACGAAAAGGCCAAGCCCTTGGGTCGTTAGGAAAAAGTCGGTAGGTTGAACTGAGAGTTCTGTCTATTATCTTTCCATTTGTTTCTGCATCATAATGGTAGAAGTTTGTGTGTTTCATCTTCTAGGTTGTTGTCATATGAAACAAACTGCAAGTTGTGCAACATATATTGGTTAAAGAAATAAATCTTAAAGAAACCATACATAGAACAGAGTAACTACACTTATTCTATGCCTTGTTGCCCTCTAAAATTTGACTTGTCATATTTTGTTCAATCTGAATTCGTGTTTCGCAATTACACCTTGAAAATTTAATTGGAAGGCACACCAACTAATCTGTATCACGTCCAAGAGTGTTGATGTTCTTAACAGAATTCTTTGTGCATCACTTTTTGGGAATTCACAGACATTCTGTTACTGAGCATTCAAATGTGATTTTGTTTATTGTTGTATCTTGAAATCTTATTTGATTGATCTGATAAGCTATTTAGTTATGTAGTAACAACATTTTAATATCCTTTTAAGTGTAGAATATTGCTGAAGTTTCAACTACATCCTCTGAGTTCAGTTATACCTCTCTCAAATCTACATATAACACACGTCAGAAGTATCAGAAATTTTTTGTTGAAGTTTATTCTATGTATTAATGAACAACGCGGAGGCTAGCCCGTGAGTATAAAGTTTACATTTGGCAAATGGTCCTAAAGTACTTAAGTGAAGATGTACCATGTATTGTATTCAGGGATATATTTGGGATTAAAGGGAGGGATATATTTGGTATTTACTTCAGGTTGGCTCTAAGCCCTCTTTTGTAGATTGAAGGTCTTGGAAATGAATAGTTATATTTATTCTCCTTTAATATGGAAGATTGAATATACTTTGATCATTGCACTGCTGAGTACAGTGTCTGTTTCTTTTAAGTAGATAATTGGCGAGAAAGAAATGGGTCTTTATGGAAAGATTATATAGATGTAACTTGTTTACAATGATACTCAAATAATGGAATCTGAAAACAACAATGTGCCGTTTAGCCAGTATAAGTTTTCGGTTGTTGCTCTAGGCAAGTTGCCCTTTAATAATTTGGACACTCATTTCAGGGCAAAATTCATATCAGCTGAGAAAAAAACAGGTGTAACTTTTGATGACTTTGCTGGCCAAGAATATATCAAGAGGGAGCTAATAGAGATAGTTCAAATACTAACAAATGCCGAGGAGTTCAAAAACAAAGGCATCTATTGCCCAAAAGGAGTTCTTCTTCATGGCCCTCCTGGAACTGGTAAAACACTTCTTGCCAAAGCTATAGCTGGTGAGGCAGGGCTTCCTTTTTTTGCGGCTAGTGGTACAGATTTTGTTGAGGTGAGGTTCTTTCAAAATTTATATACAAATGTTTCATTCCCATATTTCAAAATTCTTCAGACGGTTAAGGTAAAAAATGGAGCTGTTTGTGATTATGATATGACAGGTAGGGTAGATTGGTAGGTAGATTGCTTGAAAATTTGTGTAGTATTTGGAGACTAAGAGTCTATTCTTGGCCACAATGTCAAGTTCTCTAATGAATCTCCACCAGTTTAGGATTCAACTCCTTAAATCAGTCCCCAGTCTAGTTTGTGGGGTATGCGGTAGTGGACGGCTCTTCCTGCAAACATTCTCCGTATTTTATGTAATCACGTCATCTAGAATGTTCTAAAATACTAGGCAGCAGCTAATTATCCAATTCTCTTGCAGATGTTTGCTGGTGTGGCTGCTTCTCGTGTAAGGGATCTTTTTTCTAATGCCAGGTCATATGCCCCGTCTATAATTTTCATTGACGAGATAGATGCAATTGGCGGTAAACGTGGTGGCCCTGATATTGGTGGGGTATGCATATGCTCTTTATATGCATTTACTTATGAAAAGCAGCCTCTTATATTTTCATTTTATCCTGCAGGCATTCTTTGGAACCGAATTCTTTTAGGTTCGCAGTTAATAATTTAAAATTCGTATATACTGACATTAAGCTTTGGTGCAATGATGTACCATGTAATATTAATTGTCTTAATTGCCTTCATGGAACTTATTTGCACCTAAGTCTTGCATAAGGTTATTATGCTTAGTTGACTTCAATTGATACTACTAATACTCTCTTTGTTAAATCTTAAATGTCAATGTGATTTTGTATTATGGATGCCACTTGTAATTAGAACATAATGCATTTGCAATGCATGATGAGAATGGCAGTAATTCTTGTTATTTGTAGTGTTTGATTGATTTTCATAATCTTTTGTATTTTTCTGGTATTAATTTGATAGGAATGGGAGGTCATAGGAAGATGACTGTGGTGGAAGAAATATAGAAGTTAACCGAATGATTATTCATATCTTTCTTGTGCACGGGGTTGCACCCTCAAGCTGGCGACCACAACTGCTTTACATAACAAACTATCCATAAGGAAAATATCTAAAACAAACGGACAGTTTATCTATTGGGCCTATTAACATAACTAAAATTCTACTTGGCCCAGAACTCTTAAAAAAGCCAATTCTCACCTGCTAATTAAGACTGGAGCACTCTCAATCATCACTTCTTCATGTTCCTACCTCAATTTGCAGTTTCCTCCCGTAGTTTCCAAATTAGGCTTGTTCGCAATCTCTTCGGACACTTTATCCTCCAACATCAATATTCACCACATTGACCTTGAGATATACTGCAGCTCTAATATTATATGTTTTATTTTGAAATTTAATATCTGTATCATGTAAATTTAAGTTTTACTTAAATATCGGCGATGAGGTATTTAGATGATCTCTTGAGTGGTTTCCATCTAGCATATTCGCTCTTTGTTATCGTTGATGCAACACGTGCCCATAAAATGTAATGCAAATGTTTTCATTTTTAATACATTGTAATGTCAAGTAAGCAATTAAATCCTTTTCTCTAGTCGTAAAACACACACTTTACATCTATTTACTTGACTAGGGTGGCGTTGAGAGGGAACAAGGACTACTTCAAATGCTAACAGAAATGGATGGTTTTAAAGTTTCAACTGCACAGGTATTCAATGGTTAAATTTCTTTTCATTCATTCTCTTGTAATTGTTCCCGTACTAGAGTTTGGAATATTCTGTTCATCAGGTATTGGTTATTGGTGCTACAAATAGGCTGGATATCCTTGATCCAGCGCTTCTGAGAAAAGGTCGCTTTGACAAGATTATTCGTGTTGGGTTACCTTCAAGAGATGGTCGATATGCTATATTAAAGGTATGCTCTTTGTCTTTGTTAGTATTTTTTTCTTTGGAGAACTTTTACGACAAGATATAAATGATCTTTTCCTTGTCAGATGTAATTTTGTATTACACTTCTTATTGTGGTCTCAACAGGTTCATGCTCGAAATAAATATTTTTGTTCAGAGGAAGAGAAGGAGACTCTACTTCAAGAACTGGCAGATCTTACTGAAAATTTTACTGGAGCAGAATTGCAAAATATACTGTAAAACAATACTGATGTCTTCTCTCTCTCTCCCTCTCTCTCTCTCTCTCTCTCTCTCTCTCTCTCCCTCTCCCTCTCTCTCTCTCTCTGTGTGTATATATATATGTATATAGTTGTATATATAGTTGTTTAGCCATACTAGCAGCTGATGAAATGACCAATGCAGGAATGAAGCTGGAATTTTAACTGCTAGAAAGGACTTAGACTACATAGGACGTGGAGAACTTCTAGAGGCCTTGACGCGGGTGAGTGCTGAATTTCCTAGAATGTTCTTCTATTCTGTTTTTGTTGTGCTACTTCAAACTAGCATAATGAGCTCACATAAATGTATACTCAATGTTGCAGCAAAAAGGAACATTTGAAACAGGTCAAGAAGATAGTATCGAGGTCCCTGAAGAGTTAAAACTGAGATTGGCATATCGAGAGGCGGCTGTTGCTGTTCTTGCTTGCTATATACCAGATAACTACCGCCCCTTCTCTGGTGTATGATATGGATGGAAATGTTCATTATTAATATCTATTTGGAATTGAGTTTCTCTTTATAAGTTAATAATTAAACAAGAAAATGACCTGCAAAGATTCTTTTGCTTGTCTTATAATTATGTGTTTGATAATTTGTAGACGGAGGTTAAGTCTATAAGTAGCGACCCAAATATGCGCTACAAAAGGACGTCAGGCAGGGTATTTCAGCGAAAGGCTGATTATGTGGACTCTATCATACGTGCATGTGCTCGTAAGTTACCATTCTTTTTTTTTTTTTTTTTTTT